CAAAAACTACGATCAGAGCGTTGGGTAAAGGATAAATTTTCTCCGACAAACAGTTTTATATTACAAAAACTCGACTTACTCGTTGGTTTCCAGCCTGAGCTTTTGACGTGGGTGGAAAGTGTGGTTGAATTCAATCAGGCATATCCAAACGATGCAGAATCAATGTATGATATTGTGATTGAATATGCACCCCAACTAAATATGGAAGAAGCGTTTACAATGATGACAAAAGATTCGAGGTGGAAAGAAGTTGCTGTGCAAATAAAATGTGAACTAAATTTCTGTTTGAAAGCGGAAATAGCACCAGATTTCTTCCACAAACTCATATCGCTTGATCTCAAACAACCAGATATTTTGAAAAGCGATGATTTTAAACTTTTGGTCAAGTACGCGGTCAATTTTTATTTTCTCCATCCCAATATCGTTGGAAACCAACCCGTGTTGACAATTCTGAAAAAAGCTGCACAGACAGACACAGAGACTTTGATCAAGCGTTTAGAGCAGGCAACTAATATCGAAGCCATAACGCCGTCGAATCGCCTAGTTGATTTATTAAAAAATATTCTGGCCAAAGAAGACAAACTGAAATGGGCATGGTTCCGTTATGCCTCCACGCTCGACTGCCAGCCTCTAAATTGGAATACAGCTACCATGTTGAGTACCATTTATTCCGAAGAGGAGCTGGACTCTGCTGTTGTTGAAGTATCTTCCGAAGTCAAGGATAGCCCTGAATTTAAAGTGTTTCTCGTTGCGTTAGAGGATGATTCGAACGATGCACTACAAAAGTGCGCTAAGTGATACAATTTAGAATCGGACGAAACTCCAATTGAACTTTAGGTTTAGACAAATCGAATCGAATCGAATAAAAGAGTATGTGCTGTAAGAATCAGCTGCAGTCTTCACTATTCTTTCAACAGACTTTACCTCGATACCAACGACTTAATTGTTGGCTCTTAAATGCAATATTCGAGATTTTATAGACATAACGTGGGAATTTTTTTTGACTAATAGACTGTCTGCATAACTTTACATACTTTCATGCAAAAAATCGACACCCTGTCATTTGAAGTTTTCGTCCATTTGCAAGATTTCTTACCACTAACATTGGTTCTACCGGTATTGACACAAATATGAAGCGTCGTACTTATCTTGCGTGATACCGTAATTGGCCGTCAAGATTGAGATCGACGGAGACATCTGCCTGGTCGGGGTCTGCAATTGGAGAAAAGTAGGAGTGACTGTTTCCGTGGTCCTCTGTGCTACTAATGATGACTGACAGTTGCAAGTAGAAATACCAGGCCTTAGGATCATAAAATACTTCATGTTCGTCCGTCACCATGTGGCAGCTCTGACGAGTCGGCACAACGTCATGTGACACACTCAAGGTCTGGAAAAGCACATTTTTCACGGGTCTTTAGCGAGAAAAAGGTTATCACTCATGATTGAAGCGACTGAATAGACTGATGACCATAAATCTACAATCATTATCTCAAACAGTAATACGATTTATTTTGTGCTGTAAACGCTATGGAACGATTGCAAAGTATTACAAGACGATAAAGTCTCTATAATGATCACCTGATTCGGGAAAAAGAGCTGAGTTTTTCATGCACCATGGCAAGTCTGTTATCAAAAACACGCACATAGAGCTATATGCGAAGCGTGGAAGGGGTATTCTTTATTCTTTGAGTCCGTTTTATCTATGGGGATACCCATCGCGGTTTTAATGTCGGACGTGGAAGTTTGGAGTAAAATAGTGCCTCACTCGTCAATGACCTTTATCAGATAACAGCGTTGTGGATGCTTTTTTTCATCAAAGTCAAAGCAAATCTCTGCGAGAATGGCATCGACGGTTTGTGTCGAAAAAAAATAACGGATAGTATGATGTATCTTCATAACAAGCTAAATGCAACCACTGTTGCGACACAATCGCCAGTTTTTAAAACAGATGCGCTTTAGAGCAACATGGTCTGCTGTCTTTGATCAGGACCTTCAACTTCGTTGATCTATACTATTCATAGCTTACGAAAAATAGTGATATCGCCATCACGCGGTGATCTCGTTGCTCTATAATTGTCGGGTTATACAACAGCAAGTACAGAATGCATCAGCGATTTTTAGTCGTCTGGAAGCGCAGCTTTCCGGACCAAATAATGGCTTAGAGCTGGCTTATTTCAAAGATGTCTTGTACGCAGTCCTCCATAGCACGGGAAGTCGGATTCGGCATCCAAATTAAGATCCTACAAGCTGTGTCCGATGGTATGCGCTTGAATAAGAGGTTTTCCAGTATGGACACGTGTTTATTTGGCACCAGCAAAAAACCTCTTTTGAGATGCTTCATTGGAAAGCATATTTTGGGGGCAGATCACACGAACATCAAGTGCCTCGTGAATTGAGGGGTGCCATTTATATCAATCAGACTTAAGAATGTGGCTTTGCGTTGCTTGTTTCTATGATGCAAATAATGCCGATATGGCACGACTCCTTCAAAAGGACACCAAATGGCGCTAAGGTGCATCGAGGTTGTTAGGTAGTGCGTGGGTCAGGAAACCGCATGAGGACCTCACAAATTGGCTCTCTCAAAATGATTTGGCCATTATTGTCGTCTGAACGCTTTAACCTTTGACTTACAATATAGTTCATCGCATGCAGATGACAATGCGCATGATCGCGTCATCGTGTGCGAGGCTTGGCAGCATCAAGTGGCGAACAAGGACTATCCTGTTCATGATCAAATTTTAATGGCTATGGCTTAGTATCTAGTCAAGTTCGGGTATCATTCGCTTGGTTGTGAGTGATTTGTGATCTATGCTATTCATGAATCCAATATCTGCGCACTACAACAATATCACCAGTGAATTGAATGATAATTATCCTTTTTAGCTGAGAATTACTCGAGGTAAAGTATAAGTCAAGCGGATGCGTCCCGTAATACCGGTATTGTATTCTTTGAGGACCGTCTGAGCGAGAAATCTGATCTCGCAACTTTCAGCGATGATATGGTCAATGTGATTATCGCCAAAGCAGCGCATTTCGCCGACATTGCTTGACAATGACTAATGTATCAGATAAAATTTCGCGCATACGGCGAAATATTGGCAAATGCTATCCAAGGTGCTTGGTCCTAAATTAAAAATGTTAACCGCTGACCATTCGCAAACACGAGGTCAGGCAGAACGGGTGGATTGCAATTATGATGACTATTGATTGGAGTACTTGCACGGAGAGTACACACAAAAAAAATAGCTTCCACAGATTGAATGTACGTTTAATAAACTCAGTACATACCTCTACTAGTTTGACCTCAATTCACATAAATGTTATAGTGAACATATGGATCATTTTAGGCCGACACGAAGTGACTTCGGCTTCAAAGGGGAAGGATTGTCGACCGATTTCGACTTGCTGATGTTGAGCTTTGTAACAAAACTGGTGGCTTCTCACAAAAATTGAGCGTCGCGCACAGGGTGGGGTGGATGACTCTATGGCTAAAGGCCGCGACATACAAAAGTAACACACCAATGCCAGAGGCAGGTGATACACGCACGAATATGCTGTGCCCAAGTAAATGCAATAGTCCACAAAATATGCAGGACCTGCAATCTGCAAGACAAAGTGGCGACCGCGCCAAATTGAACCGTCCACATTTGTTGCAAGAGATAAACTAAGTAATTTTTATCCTGAAGAAAATGCGAACACACCCGGCATTTCTTGTGAGTCTAATGAAGCTGTACCAAATCCCCGCTCTTTCGAGCAACCAAGATGTGAAGCGCTCCGTTGCAGGAAATGCAATATTTTTACCACAACTTCGAGCCCAGCTATCCTCAATTTTAAGCGGTGACGTATTTTGACGTATTTCTGAAAAGCAGAAATGCCTCGAAGCAGGCTTAGCGAGAAGTAAGTTTAGTGGATGAATCTGAAAGCTGGCTCATCTCTGCTTCATACGCACACAGTTACTTTTGGTGAAAGTCAACGTGCTGCCACGGCAAAGAGAGCTAATTACATCCATCCGCAGAAACGCTGAGTTCTGTCGGCGCTGCCCAATGACCGAGGGCGGCTCATTGCGCACTAAACGTTTTGGGGCAGAAAAACATATTAGGGCTCTTAACAACATCCAGTATCATTGCAACAGTACACCAGTTTAGTGAGAAGCTTGTATTAGGCAAAATTGCCTTGGGTCCGTGACCGCTTACGGACTGGCGCATAATCGGCCTTTGTCTCCCCTTTAGAAGATGCAGGGTCAAAACACCTTTGATCGATAGCGATTACAGCTATATTTTCGAGAAAGGCAGGGCTACTAATAGTTGAATCGAAAGGTGATTGCTGTCACCTCGACAATCACTTAAGTGAAGCTGGCTTGTAAAGCCTTTTGTCATGCAAGGCGGCGTGTTTTCTGCACCGTGTGCGCGAATAGAGACATGTAATCAGCAACATTTGCCAGTTTCTAGGATCCAAGGAACATTCTTCGTGTAGTATACGATTTCCAATTGCAAAAGCTCTCGCGCAGCGACTTTCATATGATTATTTTGTACTGGGTGTGAGAGAACAGCCTACACATGTTGCCTAGAAGGAGCTCCGCACCAGCGCGTCGAGCGACTTTGAGCGGTTTAATTATCATATTTAAAGCGTGGTGCTTTAGATATGATTCGGCGTAGCTCTTTGCGCTTGTAGTTAAGCAAGCTAAGCTCCTTGAGTCAGGTTTAATTTGTTGGTCACGAGCTATATTTCGTCGTGAGTTATTCGAGAGGGTGGCAATACACTTTTCGCCGATGGGGAAGGATAAATTTATCAAGGTTTGTAAGGCATAAAAAATGGGCGTTGCGAGTGGCCGGGTCAGTTTTCGTGGGGTGGAGGCGGTCAGGATTCGGATTGTCACTGGAAAGAATCTTATCGGAGAGCTCCTCGGTATCCTCACCGATATTTCAATAGTCGTGGTCTAGAAGATTGCGCTTTTATCGGGAGCTCGTTGAGTCATATAATTTTAATCACGGAATCGAAGTTCCTGTGGAGATATGTACATGGCAGATAGTGGGGTGGAATCTACAGACGTGGTGGTCGCTTGAGAGGATTAAGTTTTTCAGTGTCTATGGAAGATATATAGTCTAAACCTTGTGTGGTTTACGTTGTAGCGGAGAAGGGTTAAAATACAATCACGATTTTAGAAATACGAAAGTTACATTCACATAGTGCAATTGTGAATATTCATACATACCGGAATATCGGTATTTATGAATTTCGAGGTGCACGTCAGAAAATTAAGTTCTGTACAAGAATTCTTCAAAACTAGTATAGGTTATCAAAGTCGAGCGCAATCGACAGACGAAACATTTCGTGTGAAGGAAACTGTAGGACCGGAAAAAGCGCTTGCATAATGTGTCATGGTATTGTTTTGCTCTCGTGCACCACTCGCAAACGCGTCAGCTTCAGCATGCCTGATGGAAAATAGGTAAACCAAAACGAATTTCGCACTAGATACTTAAACATAACGATCAAGTGTTGCATATAAAAGGTTGCGCGAGATCAAGTAGGAAATTTCGCGGGATACAATTCTCTATCTTCACGAACCCAGGCAAACACTGTGAATCATCAAGTCTATGAAATTAAACAAAGTCGTTGCCAATAATGATATTGTTATACAAGACACAAAATACTGAACAGCCATTTCAACTCGTATTTGAATTGGTATAACTTAAGCTGAGAGCTTTTTCATCTGCAAGTACCACACTTTCTACATTATCGCTTTCGGGGCCATTGATATCGTTCCTCTTGTCATTAAAAAACGGCTCAATGTACCATATATCCTATATATTTGATGAGCAATTATGAAGCGGTCGTCGAGAGATTTAGATTGGGCTAAGAACCTATTAAGAGTTTATACAAGCCAAAGTAGTTTATTGATTCAATCATATATTCTACATCCAAATACAAGCTCGTCCTCTTCTTACCTACTAAACAGATGGTTTTGATTTGCCGTTCAATATGATAATAAACCTAAACCATCATTGCATAATCAGGCAGAAGATGTTTCCTCCTGAAAAGGTGTCTCTTGAAAAATTATCTACAGTTCTTGGGTTACTAATTTTACACTATCACTGGTGGTTGCGTGAATGTCACCTGACAAAGTAACCTTAGCGAGTACAGCAATCCACAGGTTATTGCACGCTCATTTTACTTCAATGGTCTTAAAACACCATATGGAATAAGAAATGGTCCATGAAAATCCGATGAAAATTTCTTTAAAAAAACACCACAAATCTTGAGTATAAGTTGCAAGAAATGTGCAAGACATTATTTTCTGACGAACATCAAATTGTATAACGAGATTCAATATTTGCCGAAAAAAAATGACAGACAAAAGCTGTGCAAGTCCTTCAAGGCAGTGAGGAGAATTTTACCGTGGTCGTATCGTAAGTCGTGTGGACACAACAATAGATAGATCGGTCTAGGCTGCGTGATGACCAATTATGTAGAGATCATGAATTAAACTTTTTATTTCTGGCACACTTTAAATTCATTATATTTAATGATAAATCAACGATGTTTCGGAAAAGGCGGACAGAGTCGATTCTGAAAATGTTGAGGCGCTGTCATAAGAGTCGTGATACCCCGTTGCTTGATCCTGCGCAGCTTCCTGTGTACTACAATTTATTGCTTTACTCATACACTGTGAACAGAATGTAATTTTGCGCTGGATGAGTTCGTCATCTTGTCCAATGAAATGCATTCGCTCGCGCACTTTGCACGAAAAGCACACATCACCATTGCAAAGTTTGCACGTGCCTCGACCGAGTCCTGCAAGATTTTTGCTTTTACCGCACATGACGCATCCTTTACTGTTCTGACTGTCTTGACGCTGCTTAAAAGCAGCGTGTTGACGCTGAAGCATCCACGCAACTTTTTTTAGCTGACCACATCGCACATAATTTGTCACCGTCAACATGGAAGTCGCTGTAACTGGTGTTAAGACTTGTCTCTTTGCTTTGTGACCTGGATCGATGATACACACCCCAAAAGTGTCGATGATTGTACTATGAATGTGGCGGTAGAACCCGACGAGTGACATGTTACTTCGAGTGAAGTAAGAGAGAGGCTTTGTTTGCGGAAATTCGATTGAGTGGAGTACGTGGTACCCAATCTGAACACCGTTTTCCAGATGAAGAATGTCTGTTGCTTCCACGCATACATAATCTCGGCTTTTGTTAGACTTAAGCATGGATTCTGTTGCCATCCACTTAATCGTCAGAGATCGAAATGGCTCCTTCTCGCTTGGCTCAACCACGGGACATAGAATTGCTCCACTTTCAAAATCACCAACATACGCATTCTTGATGCGCATTGCATCTCGAGTTGTGTTAATAACTCCAAACATGAGGTCTTCTAGCTCCCCAACGACCGTACCGACACTCATAAACACTGCCATGTCTTTCTCTTGCTCGGTCTGTTCAATCGGATCTATTGTAATTAATCCTTTGCGAGCCTGATCCTTTGAAGTGCGTTCACTATAAACGTGGAGATCATCTTTAGACTTGACATGTTCCCAACGTCGACTATCCACGCGGTGTTGGTCCGTAATAAAAAACTTTTCGTACTTCTGCAAGTGATTCTGCACGCATCCATTCACTAATTCGATGAGTTGCTCACGCTGTTGTGCAGTGACGCTTAAGTCTGGGTACGGATTTGTCGTGTCCTTTGGCATCGCACTAAGCGGTTACGAGGGGAAATCGCCAAGTGCCATTATCTCACGTTCGTGCGTCCATATGATGCGAACATCACCAATCAGGGTCGGGTCAGCAGGCTGTATCCTTTGATTTGGACAATATGACAACGGGCACGCACTGTAGAGGTGTAGAAATAGTTACTCCAGAGAAAAAAGATTTAACCCAAAGTGTTCCGTGGCCCACCGAACAGATTGGATGGACGATTTAATTGTTAAATTTTATAGACTGTCTACCGATATATGGCGGCTGCCAAGTAATAAATAGCCATATTCCTACAGGACAAATTCAGTAAAGTCGTGTCCTGACAGGATACATCGTGTAATAGCACTGTAAGCAAATGTTTGAGACTAGCCTCATAGTAAAAGTATCCGCTTCAATTTCAGATCGACTTTCGTATACTGTCTTAGATTTCGAGGGCAAGTTCAGTGATAGCTACGTAAAATTTTGTTGTTGATGCGATTTGTGATACAATTTTAAAGTTAAGGTCTAGCCAGCGTAGTATGCAACCCCATCAGCCTCGTCTTGAATGTTGCTAATATCTGGCGATAATATTGTGTTAGCATTCATAATGCCCACCCTTATACTCCAACACAATTGACACCATCAGAAAGCTGTACGGGTTTCCTTTGCCAGCAATTAATGGATTTTTGTATTTATAAAAATTACACATATGACTGTTGGCTGTCGTGCGTTATTGTCTGAATGCTCGCTCATCGATTGCGCCTCTAACAAGTTATGACATTTATTGATAGCATCAATAATTGTGATAAATATATGCTAAAACCGGCTTGACCGAATGTATCGAAGCTTGCACGCTACCGGCACATTCTATTAGGTGCCTTTGTGTTAAGATTGAACTTGGTAGTAGAATTTGAAGCAAGTCCGGAAACTAAGTGAGCACACACTGTATAAAGCCTTTCCTGCAGTCCTGTCGTGCCTATCCTTATGCATGAATTTGTACGGCAACAATGTTGGACATGTGACGAAACAGCAGTCTGTTTCCACGCCAAGGTTGAGGCTACCTTGAGTCTTTAGCTCAATCGTACAACGTATTGCGTCTCTGAAAGAATTCATCTGATATCGTAAATTTCTGGTCAATCTGCTTGTTGATCTGCACATGTATGTTTGGACTATCTGTAAGTGTGTTGCGTTTCGCTACACAGCATTTGACGTTATCCTGGCATACGACTCGCGATGTAAAGGTTAAACCGCAAAGTTTTCGTCAGTCAGACGATTACTTGAACGGTCATGGTCGTATGATTGAAGTATAATAAAATAAGCTCAAATCTTGGTGAGACCTAGCAGCAGATTATAATCTCTTTTAGTTATTAGATTGGGATTTTTCTACATGATACAAACACAAGTTACAAAACATGTTTATACCATTTTTTACTTATTCGATAAAACGTCGGATCCAGATAAAGAATCCATGACATTGAAGGCTTTATACCCTACAGCTTGATCCTGAGCTGCGGGTATAGCACTCATTCGGGACACCTCACTGATGCACATGACGCAAAATGTGATTTTCTGTCGAAGGAGTTTCCGATCCGGCGTGAGAAAACTTATCGCTTTCGGGCGTTTGCACTTGTAGCATACGGGATTCAAGCACAACTTGCAAACGCTTTGTCCCAATGCTGTAACTCTGGGGAGGCCAAAATTTCTATGCGTCAGATTTCGGTCGCAAGCCGTACAGAAAAGTTCATTGTTAAAAATATTTTGGGTACATCGATGTCGAAACGATTGTGTTTCAGCTTGTCGGTGCTGTAGCCTCCATGTGAGTTTCTTTGCTTGTCCACAGATAACGTAATTTGTGGTAGAGAGCAATGCTTGAGCCGAAGCTTTAAGTGCCACTGACCGAAATATTTTGCCTCCAGGATGCACGGTGTCGAACGCGTACGTGTCGATAACATTGTGGCTAATTTGTCGATAGAAGCCAATTATTTTGTGATGCGCTCGAATTGTACCAAGAAGAGGCTGAGTGTTGGGAAAGTTGATTGAGTGAAGAAGCTGGTACCCAACGCGATCTCCGTCCGCAAAATGCAAGATACCAGTCGCTTCTAAGCAAATGAAGTCGCGATTTTGAATGAGTCCAGTCTGATTTAGTGGTAGATTAATCTGGGTCCATTTAATTGATACGGAACGAAAGGGATCTGCAGCAGTGGGTACAACAATATTGGCTAATACAGCGCCATCACTGTAATCTTTAACGTACGACGCCTTTACGCGCATTATCTCTTGCGTCGGGTTCACAGTACCAAACATGAGGTCATTTAGCTCTCCCTCAAAGGTACCCACAGCGAGGATAATGGGCATGTTCTTTTGCCAGTTGTCTGTTGGCTGATGGACAGGATCGTCCTCCTTAATTTTGCTGTCGCTATATCCGTCTCGCTCCACGTAAACGTGGAGATTCTCGTCGTCGCCAATCGACTTCCACTGAGAGTGATTCACCTTTCTTTTATCAACGACTACGAAGTCTTCGTATTTTGGAAAGACTTCGAGGATCAGGTCACTTTCAAGGCGAAGGAGGAGTTGACGATCCGCATCAGTGAGCTCGAGTTTTGGATAAGGATTGGTAGTGAAGGTGGCTTTGCCCATAATGTTCTGGCGTTTTGAGAGCAAATGGATTGTGAGATCGATATAACGAAGTATTGATCTTGTGTTTCTCAAGGTGTTGTGTCTGTTACATATACAGCGCTACAAGGCATCTTTGCTTTTATTTGAATGAAATTACAAGCACGTACCTTGGACCACTATAATCTCTGTACGGCAGATGAGTCATTTTCGCAATGCGACTGAGCTACCAAGAGACTTGTAAAGAGAAGAAATTTAGATCAATCAAAGGTTGCAATCAGCCTGATAAGATGACTTAGATTAAATTTGGTCATAAACTATAAAGAGTGAAGCTTGATTTACAGCTAAAAAAAATTTGTGGTAACTGGTTAGGGAGGCTCGATTCTGGTGCTGTGAACACAAAGCTATATAAAGATGATGCGAGATATGTACTAGCGCAATCAATTACTAATCTTGTTCAATCAACGAACGGGAGAGAGGCCGAAGTTTGATTGACAGCTTGAATGAGAAGATCTCAGAATGTGATGAGCGAATGTCTTGCACAGCAAAGTTTGACTCTAGAATTTAGACAGACATTTTAATTTTAGTTTTGATGAGCTTAAATTTTAAAGCGCTTGAATCCTGCAATGAGATGATCTCGACAAAATCGAATGTCAAAATGTAAGATTCTGGATGTGATTCCACCTAGAAGTATCATGCAATCAATATCTGGTGTCAACGACATTCAGTATCTGAAAATTTCGCGATCGATATTCTATGTGTGTGGTGGGGTGACCAACCAATTATGCTTTCAGCTTCACATGATAATTTTTGTACGACTCTATAATTTAGAATTAAGCATTATATAGATTTTACAATCAGAAGTATTTCCAAACCTACCTTATACGTCAGTCGGATCTTGTAACTGTGCTAGGCAAATATTCGAAAATATCACATACCATAAGCTAATCTATTATAGATAGGATATGTATAAAGGCTAAATTCTAATACATCTAGTCGGTCTATGTCACCAACCGCGTCATATTTAAGATAAAATCCAGTTTCAATAACTTGTTCAGACCAAGCAGCGCTCAAACTGTCAGCGCTCTCACGGGTTAAGGGGGGTTCCAAATGAACCTTTGACATATCCTGTTGCAAGGGGCACGGATATCTTATCAGTACTTGGGGTCTTAAATGACCCCGCGACCTGTCGGCTAAGCACTATCATAGCTTTTGCGATATATCGGTGCAAAAGCTGCGCATCCTACATATGTGCACGGCGCACCCAAATTCTCAAAGCCCGAGATGCGGGTGTTGACAATCAAAAATGCTTAGCTCGAATCCTACCTCTCGTTGGAGGAACATTATCTTTAGGACTGGGTCACATTGACCTCTATCTCAATGACGTGCGATAGAGCCCAATTCTACCATAGTAGGCCGCCCTGCGCTTTCTCATACTCGTCTTTCCCCGCAATGTGTTTGTGGGGCAATCCTGATTAGCAGATCAGCTCTATGAACCAGTCATTTGATAGACGGTCGAGGTTGGGCACAGATTTGTACTACATCCACGATGAAATATCTACAAGTACTACGATCATGCTTGGCAGTTAAGAGACCTATCCTTCTCGTTAGGATGGCTGAGGCTCATAGCATTTGGCACGCCTGTAGAGCTTTATTGGACCGTACTCTTATTGGCTCTTACGATCAGGAAATGATGTTATGTTCTTGAAGTAGGGTGACACATCGAAAGAGTTAAGAAAATAGGAACCCATGACAGCCGTTATCGCATTTGGAAGCGAGTTGCTGCATCTACGATGCTAGCTCTCGACGCTTGGGCGTAAATCGCAAATTCTTGGCTCTTTGTCGGGTGGTCAGGAACTTGATCGCACGCGATATGCCTGGTTAAGCGATGCAAGTCTACCGCGTCATGATATAGGGCCTGTGTCTAAGGGTGAAATTTTAATTCAGAGATAGCTTATGCGACGCGCTGATGCATTGATTGGTATATGGCCAAAATAGCGGTAAACTTAGTCTCTCAGGTCCAAATATACTCGTCTTCATGGTGTAGGCCGTTTGCACGCCCATTGATGCCTGTTTGACGCGTAAATATCTTAGCGCACATCATGCAAGTCCGCTTCGACGGGGTCTCTCAAGCAGCGAGGTAGTCATAAATCTCAATATTGACAGATGTAAGGAATTTAATCTAACTCATCTGTTTGAGCATCTACAATGATTGACAGGCATATCGCCTCTGTGCATCTCATCCTATTGCTTTAAGTTGGTACGCTATGTTTGAGCCTGGTTCCTTTAGTGTGCTCGTTCGTACCCCATTAGACGTTGATGAATTTTCCAAAAAATACAGATGACAAAACGTAAAGCAAAATTCTTTCAGGGTGTGGCATGAACAACCGTGAGCTCGACAAAAATGGCTGACTCATGTCACGGCAATTGCCTTTTAAGGCTCAAAGTGTCAAATGAAATCACACATCGGAAATGTGTGCTTACGGCTCCTTCAAATAACACGCAGACTTGAAGTGGTGTTTGTGGCAATGTACGTTACAAACCAAATAAACGTGGCCTAAAAACAACTAATAATCGATATTATATAGCTCAGCTAAAACATTGACACATGATTCATCCCGCACCAGGCTCAGTGCATTCCAAAGTCAAACTTCCTTTGCCAAGTCAGAGACAGATATGGCGGGATGGTCAACATATATTGAACTTGATCATAAGAGCTTGTGACCGTATTAAAGAGCGAGAGGTGGAGACTTTTTCATGCATGGACAGTGTAACAACATCCCGTTTTTGTTAACCAGCGTATTTTGTACAGCTTAATGCAGCGGATGAATTTCCATCAAACCTAATGTATGCCCCTACTACGTTGCCGTTACTGTTAATCAATTTTAATTTCGTGCAATATCTGGGAGGCATTTGATGACCCCGAAGACCCGATCATAATATGAAGAGTTCTGATTCATTTCTAAGCACATAAACATCCATTGGGAGACATTATTTGCATACTCTCAGGATGTAGCCGCGTCATAATTCCGTGCTGTGATAAACTGATATGGTATGTTATTGCGATGATCGTGTCTTTTTTGTTTGACTGACCCTGTAAGAGTATACTATGTAGCTGCCGCTGCTCGAATACCTGCATCAGCGTGTTTCCGATGAGGCAATCATTTGGCTGACGATTATATTGCAGCAATGTTCAATATGCTATATATGTATCCGCGACGTAGTCACACGACCGACTAGACCGTCATGAGAAATTGTACAAGAACACATACTGATGCGAAAAATGCTATTCTATAATATCGCTATCATGAGTATCGAAAATCGAATCAGTGCGGCCAATCGAGCTCTACCTTCCCACGACTGCGATAAGACTTGATAGGTGCTATAATGCACCAGCTATGGTTGTATGCTTCGCAGACCGCATATCGTGAATTAAGAAATCAACTGATAAAAGTCAATCGACCATGACCATTCAGTGCTGACAAAGCGAATCGAGTGAAAAACTTCAAAATAATGAACTTCTAGTCGTGGTCGCCGTGTTGTTTCGTAACGAAAAGGAAGCTCCTGTTATGTCGCGTTATGTTGCTGCCATGTCAGTAATGCTATTCAGAGACACCTAGAGCTGCACTGGCTTTTGCTCCCACTCATCCCCATCAAATGTTAATGCTACAGCTGTTTGATGAGTACGGAAAAAAATCTTTAAAAGTCTGAGCAATAAATTGGCTCACCCCTGCATAATGATCTGTAGATGAGACTTCTCAGATGTGGCTTCTTATAAATGGCGTCTTAGGTTGCAACCATGTGTTAAGCCCTTACGTCTTGAAAGCTGTGTGGTGTTACAATATCTTTTGTACCCCTTACGAAACCTGCATATCGTTACAATTATGTCTGATAAAATTTCGCCTCTTATAATCTGCCAAGCATTTTTTTCCGTAGATATCTCACGTTGAAGGTATATTTTTACTTATGGTGACTTTATGCATATTATAAATGAGTTAGTCTCTTTCAAAAGTTTATATTTCATGATGCTTGATTCGGGCGCCGTGTGATTCCTGGACGGAGCAGTGAGTCTGATTTTGACCTATCTTGCCGTGTTTCACCTTTCTTCGACTCAGCGAAAACGTGATCATGAGCTGCAATTATCGAGTTTGCATTGGCGACATTGATAGACTAAGTGACGAGATTGAATGTATACAACTTTAGAGTGATGTGATGTTGGGCCGTATCATGAGGAGAAGTACATCCAAATTTAGAGTTAGCTCCAAAACAATTTGGAGCTTTTTACTTCATAAAAACGCTCAGTTCTGTGCCTAACATAGCTATTCATACAGCCGGTGCTGAGTGTGAAACTTCCTCAGCATCTGTACTGATAGGGAGATCACAGTGAGCAGCTATTGGATGACCAGACTTGCACTTCAGACCGTCTTCCGAATAATACGTGCATTGGGCAGAGAGCGACCCAATCTTGACGAAACTCCTTTACCGATCGTCCTGCGTACTTATTCGACAATACGTGACTCACAGTAGTCAAACCCAAATTTGCCTGGAGGCGGCTTAATCAAATATGAAAGGACGGTTCACTGTAAATCCATTTAACGAGTTACGCCTAACGTCTTCAGATGTCGCTGACCTCGAAGCCCTCTTTGCCTCCATTGTGGACGCAAGCATCTCGCGCTACGAGGAATTTCTTTTTCAAGACCATTGTCGTATTGACACAAATCACTGGAAACTTGTTAAAAGCCGCGAAAACGCCAAAGTGTATTCGGAGCGCAATTTCGATTCAGCGCGACCTGCTCCTCGTGTTCCAGGCACACCTGTAGACCTACCTTCGCTACTTTGCTACGGTACTACAATTGGTGATTTAGAAGATATGATGTTTGGAGTAGTCAATCCAACGCTGGAGAGCATGAGAATTAAAGCTTCATATGTCGATGATATAAGCGGTGCAGCAGTCTTATCTACAATCACAGAACCTTCGATGGAAGAACCTTTCAAATCTTTAGCTGTCAAATGGATGGAGCTTGATCTTCCTTTCCAATCGATTGGTTTGGTGTACAATCGTGATTATGTGTACATTGAAGGAACCAACATTGTGCACTTATCGAACGGCGAAAAAATTGGATATCACATAATACACTCAGTCAACTTTCCTGAGACCCACGAGCTACCTGGGCGCGTCCGAGCGAATACGTCCATTTGTAGCATATTCCGCCAAGTGAGACCCAATGCCTGCGAAATTTATGTCACTGGCCTCATGGACCCAAGTGGTGATATAATTCGTAAGCTCATTGTGCCTAACATGGCGACGTCTTTTTTATCAACGCTCAAGTATGCTCATTGTGGTCAGATGAAAAAACTTGCTTGGATGCTTGAAAAGCGATACACAGAAGCTAAAGAGCTGGGCACGCCCAATCGAGAACTTGTCTGTGTGACCTGCGTATGCCCGATAACAAGTCGTAAACTCGGCGACTTCGGTAAAAGTGACAGCACGTGTAAACTTTGTTTTGGTTACGTGTGTCATAACTGCAAGATCTCTAAAAAGCTTAGCTTTGTGACTCCGGATTTGCTCTTAGCCCGAAGAAAGGTCACTTTTTGCGCTGTATGCGTAAATGAAGCGACAAGAACACCCGCTGCTGAGGCGGCACGAGCTCATATTGCCTCCATCAGTGGAAGAGAGGTTACAAATGCTCTCTACCCGTCAACTACATCAACTGCCAGCTCACTATCTGAACATTCTAGAAATACTTGTAGTGAGTAACTTCTCCATTGCTTGGCTTTTGATTAAGTCATGTATCCATTTGCAAATATAAGCTTAACATGCTTGAAGCTGAATGCCGTTGTATAAAGCCAATTTAATTTTTTTCGTCAGTCGCATATTCGTCTCACTCACCGTCTTAATAAAATTCTGGCATGTTTAGCCCGGAGGCCTAATAACAAACCCCTGAGCAAAGTTTAAAAGCTTGAGTAGCAAAAATATCGCATCACATTTTCTGAAGTATAGTTTAATGTGTTGTCACTGACGTCATCGCGGAAATTGGAGCTAGCGCGTCAACACCTTATATCAAAAATCTGCATGGATTTGTGTGAGACACTTATAACATATTAATAGTTATCATTCACGTGACCCACCCAAAGCGCGTCTTTCATCAAGTCGCCTTGCCCAGTGACACTATGCCAATGCAGCGGACAAAACCTACGTAGAGGCCTCAACAAATAAGCCTAATGCTGGGCCGTTTGGAGTAAACCTCTTTTCTATAAGCTTTAGGAGGTAAACAGAAACTTATCAATTCTGCAAACTTGGTCACCTCGATGTATCGCAAATCGTGACTTTATAATCGACCACCACTAACATAGCGAATTCTTAAAATAAATGTACAGCTATGTTGATTAAAGCTTAGTTGGTTAAAGCACTGGAAATTCAATTCGATGAGTGGGAAATTATAATGCAGGTAAACTTTAATTCTGACATGTGGTCTCGCAGATGTCGATTTCAGCAACATGGTCGTACTGCAAATTTTAGTGCATTTTTGTGGCTGTAAAGGCGCGTGTTGATGTTCAAATGAAAAATCTAATATGCACGACCGTGTTGAGGTGAGGCACGTCGCGAATTTCTTGAGACTGCAATAAATATAACTTCCTCAGCAAAAGTTGTCGAGAATACCAATGTAAATCCTTATCAATTGGCCTGTAACATAAAATTAACGCTAGAATATCATCAGCGAGTAAATTGCTCAATGTAATGTAACAAGCGCATGCCTGTGATGAAGCTTCTGCTTGCATCTAGAACACAATCAAATGCAAATATGGATGACAGCTTACAAGACAGCTTGCATTCCAGCTTAACGTTGAAGCATGGGGAAGGCCAGCAAGAGATGGCATAGCCAAACTAAAAGTCTGTATTCTTGGTATAGATTTGCATTTGCGATTCTTGAATGCAGTAATTATCTTCACAATAGAACCAAGTGTCTGGGGGCATGCAGACTCTTCATCAGCTTGAGCGTAAATCGCTCGTGCTGGCCACTCCGAACATCGTAAGCTATTTTTCTGTATACGCATATCCCTTGACGCAAGCAAGCGAATCTTCAGTTGCTCATCCTTATCGACTTTGACTCAGTAATTTGAATTTTTGCGGAATGGTACTCTTGACGTTGCTGCTAGCCGCAAATTGACGTTCATCGTTGATATGTCCACGACGGCAGCAAATGTTAGTTTATTTCGTCGTCAACGAGATTCCCCGAGTTCAATTCCCGCACATTTCGCGCCAGTTCAGCCTAAGAAACTTACTGTTGTGCGGCATGTGGAGCCCGGGTGGAGGTCTGGTTTTTTTTCAAACAGCATTGTCTTCAGGCGCAAAGACCTCTTCACAGGTTGACTTGCACCAGTCTTCAGTCTTTACACGAATGCTTTTCAAAAGCGGCTTCGCAAATCAAAGCGGGGGCTCTTCAGCGTAAGCGAGAAAGCTGCGATGATTGTTACCATGAAAGCCATGGAGCATCATTTTTCTCACTGAGTCAAATGTTGTCAAGCACCTGCGTGTCAGTTGTATCATTTGCTTTACTTATTGCCTCATGAATGCAAAAAATATCGAGCGCACTTGACCCTTTATGCGTCAAACAGTTTACATTGCCCCTAAAGTACAAGCGAGACGAAAAACGTTTTTGGTTAGCATCTAAGTAGCGCCTTTGCCGTCAACATGCTCTTCGCCATAATGGAATCCCCACCGATAAAATAGGGACAAGTGTCAGTGGCAAAACATGGCTCCCGCACCTACGCTATCGATCATAACGATGCAGCCGAGAAATTTCACGAATGGGGACAGTTTGTGCTGTCAGCGAATCTGACATAAATTCCAATTGGAGATGATTGCTATAACAAATTGCTGTTGCT